TCAGCAGCAGGGCAGCCCCTCGGCCAGCCAGGCCAGCAAGAGCGGAGATGGGGACTGGGGAGCCGGTGGGGACAGGCCCCGCCAGGGTGTCAGAGTTCCTCTGCCTTCACGTGGGAAGAGTTTATCCTTCAGGCTCAATATCCAGATGCTGAACAGCCCATGGAGAGAGGTGACATGCGAGGGACTCGGGAGCTGCATGAGGAACCTTGTAGCCATGAGCAGGCTCTGGTATCACTGGGAGCATCTCTGCTGCGTGGTCTGTGCGGGCTTGTGTTGGGCAAGCGGGAGTCTCCTGGAAGCGGCTGGTGGCACCTCCGTGTGGGCAGCACCTCAGGGCCAGAGCCCTCCGGCTGCCCTCGCTGCAGCTGAACAGGGAGCAGGAAGACAGAGAAGCGCTGCCAGGAACTCCGAGCGCAGGACGGAGCCCAAAGGCAGCCTGAGACTGGCCAGAGGCTGGAAAATCTGGCAGATGACGGAAGACCAAGAGAGCCAGGGCTGGCTGGGCTGGGGAAGAAGAGGCCAAGGGGAGACCTGGCGTCTCTGGGGGGCGAGGGCAGCCCGCAGTGTTGTCACCAGCTGCCGGTGCCTTGGGACAGCAAATAACGTGGCATCAGCTAGGGAGATGGCAAGCTATAGGTAAGGGCCATCACCTTCGGCTCCTGGCTGCCATTTGGCTGGGCAGAGGATGAAGATCTTCATCTCCAGGAAAGCCTAGAGCTGCAGAGAGCCCAGCCGGTGGGAATGGCTGCTGGCAAAGACCTCCTCCCCGCTGGCAGCCACCTCAGCCCTTGCCCTGTTGGTGGCACCAAGCATCTGCTTTTAAAGAGCGAACTGGAACTTCCTCAACTGGAAAACGCGGTTTCCTGTGGGATGAGCGGGAAGAGCGCGGCCCTGCCGCAGGCTGGGATGGTGCTTGGCAGATGCCTTCCCTGGGGACAGTCCCATGCTGTCTGGCTGCTCAGCTGGGGAGGACTACAGAGATACAAGATACAACTTTGCATTTTTCTAATCCTTGCTCTCAGACGCTGAGAACTTGTGAGATGCTTCACACCCCTCCATCCTCTCCAGTGCGTTTCACTGCTCGCAGGAGGCAAACGAAAGACTCCAGTTAACTTCCACAGAGGCTGGATCGGGATTCTGCGTGCTAGGGCTGGAAGCCAACTCTTAAAAACATGCAGGATTTCTCATAACCACTCACAAAGGGACGACCAATCCAGAAGGATCTTCTCTTCATATTGAGTCTTCCTCTTATTTTGTCCCCTCCTGCTCTGTTACACAAGCACTTTGCAGCAAGCTGTAGAGTGCTGTAGAGCTTCAGACCAAACTGCACTTCAGGCCTAATGCTGCTATATATTCCAGAAATAAAAGCCTGACCAGACAGGGATGTGTGAGGCAGCTCCATTCAGCAGGTCACTCGGATATCTGGAAGCTGCACGCAGATGTCATTTACTTCACTTTGAGTGCAGAAAGCTCTGACGGCCTCCAAGAGCTGAAAATGCCTCCGGTCTACTTGACTTTCTTTTTTTTTCTGTGCTGCAATGTAAAAGCCTGTTCACTAAAAAGACTGAGTGCAGCAAACTTTTGTTCAATGCACGAAGGAGTAAGTTTTGTTGTGGAAAATCCATTTCCTGGCACAGCTCAGGCACAGAGCTCCAAGCGCAATCCAGCCCGCTGCGTCCTTGAAGAGACATCATCTCATGGGTTGCTTCGTATTTGGGAACTGCATGATAGATGGGCTTGGAATGACAGAGAAAACACCTAGCGAGAGGAAAGCAGGCCTGGAAAGATCCCACAGGGAACCCCTGCAAAGGCCTGGTTTGGACAACTTAAACCAGTTTTGGCTAGGAAGCTATGGCTCAAATGCAGCTTCCGAGACACAAATGAGAAGAGAAGCAAAAGCTCTGTTATCTCCTGCAGAGCTTGTAGGAGTGAAGTTGGTGAGAACTGCCGACCTCCAGGCTCGGGGAGCTGCCCTGGCCATCCCAGAGCAGCCCTGGGCTTGGGCTGTCCGGGTTCTGGAACTTCAGAGCAACGTTGCAACTTCCTTGAAGCTCAGCTTTGCAAATCCCCATGCAGCTCCCACATGGATGTGCCATGGCCTTTGTGGCCTGAGTTTTCAACAGAGAACCCATTTTTTCTCCTTTCTCAAAGCCCCCAAAGGTGCTCTGTGGCAAGCAGGAACTCACCTGCTTTCTGCCCTACCAAAAGCCTCCCGAGTCCTGTTCATTCTCTTCTGAGCCCAAACTGGGTCTACTGGCAACTGCTCAGGGCTGAAGGAGCACGATGTCATTCGAGAGCCAGCTCTGAGCCTTGGCTCTACAACCAAGGTCTTGTTACGCTGGAGTCCAACAAAATCTTGATGTGGTTTAGAAAACGGAGAGATTTTAGTCTGGAATTTATGGAAAAATAGTTCCTGTACATGCAGAGAACTCCTAAAAAAGGCTTCTTCTGCTAATAACTTTGAGGGGTGGCTGTGGTGGGGATGTGCTGTGGTGGGGATGATTCCCCTTCTCGCAGCTGAATCACCCACTGCTTTAACTCCCGCCTCACTGCTCTGCACCAGCCCCACGACTCTCGACCTGCATGTCAGAATCAAGCCAATTTTCCAAACGGATTAAGTGTCTGGTGTGACAAATGCACTTAAAGTCGGGCGGGGAGACTGCCCCATGGCCTGTACCAGGTTGGTTAGTGTTCTAACTGAGTGCCTGCAGCCGGGGAGGAATCGGCTCCGCTGACAACGCTGGCACGGCTGTTTGTACACCCTGACGGCCACGTGTTTCCACGGTCCCCCTGATCTCCAACGCACCATCCCAGGGCTTAAGGAGACATCGTCCGGCTACGTCGTAGCGCAGCTGCACGCAACGCGCAGTCAGCGACCCTCAGTCAATGCGGAGCGACGGTGGCAGTCGTTTTATTTATTTATTTATTTTTAACGGGAATTAGCAGAGACACCAGAGCTTCCCCTGCACGTACTGTAAGTCAGCGTAAATCTCTTGCAAAACCCTGCTGCGACCGGATATCAAATATCTCTCCGGAACGCCTCTCACTGCACCCACATCGCTCCTCCCCACAGAACGTCTTCTGCAAAGAAAAGGGGTGAGGGAGAGACATTCCGGCACCGTTCAAGGCTCCTGGCATCCCCTGCCCTCGGCGCCGGCTTCGCCGTCACGACTGCTCGGCTACGAGTGGCGCAGCGGAGCGCAGGGCGAAGCTGGGGGTGCTGCCCGGGCCCCCCGCGTGCGCGCGCGCCGCGAGCAGGGCCTTACCCTCGGCAGTCTGCAGGACCAGCGTCTTGCTGTAGGGGCTGACGCCCGCCTTGTTGAAGGCCTTGACGCGCGCGCTGTACGTGCTGTTGAAGTGCAGCCCGTCCACGGTGCACATGGTCTCCTTGCCCACGTACACCTCCTGCAAACGAGCACGGGAAGGCGCTGTGAGCCCGGAGCCGCATTCCCAGTCCACGGCATAGCCTGGAGCCGCCGGGGCGGCTGCGCTGAGCCTCGCTGATCCCGTCCCACACCACCTCCTGCTCCTGCATCCCACCCAAACCCGCCCCAGTTACCTCTTCTCTGCCTCAGTTTTGCTCTGGCTGCTGCCCAAGGGAGTTTCTCTTGGCTGAATTCAGGAAATGTGATGTGTTGGTTCTTGCGCCTGCTCTCAGTGGATGTGAACACGCCAGGATAATTATCAGCATGTTGGATCCGAGAAAAATCATATTTTAATTGTGTAATTACAGCAATTTAAAAGCCCCCAGGCCTTAAGCACCTCCACTTGCTGGCAGCCGGCAGACTCTGAGTCTTTCACGGGGATCAGCACACCTCGCATGAAATACTTGGCAACTTTAAATGACGGGGCTTTAAATGTGTTCTTTGCATTTGCAAATCACGTGGGCCACTGGGAAGGTTCTTAACAGAAATGTTCCCCTCCCCAGATTGCCCCAAAAAGCAGCCTGCAGCTCTCCTGCCCCATCAGCTTCCCCGAGCATCCTCCAGGCACAAGGCTCATGTGCCCTGGGCATGGAAGGACCTGCAAAGAGCTGAGGGACACGTTGGTCACCTCATGGCAGGGCAATACACACTTTAGCAGCCCTCAGGCAACAAGGGGACAGTCCCCTCCGCTCCGAGCAAGAGCTGAAGGGCTCAGTGCTCACATGAGGCTCCTGGTACAAGAAGCAACACTCAGCTCAGGCCAAATCCTGCACTCAGGAATGATGGGGAATGAAAGGTGGATACCACAGGGTTCTCTGTTCTGGTGTGTTATTGCAGCACTGAGTCACCTGGGAGCAGCCTGGGCCGTGGGGAGTTGTGGTCCCATAACAAGTCCTTTCCAGCGCTGCTGGAGCCTGTTTCCCACAGCAAGCAGCACCTCTTCCTGCACTGTTCCAGCTACGGATGTGGATGCGGAGCTGCCTGAGCTCAGAGAGCCCCAAACCCTCACTGCCCGCACAGGAGGTCACTCCAAGGGCCCTTGGGGATGGAGCTCAGGCCAGCTCCTCTGCCGATGTCAGTCATGAGGATGTGAGCAGCTAAGATGGGATGGGAGGAAGGAACAGGGACTACTGACACTGCATGAGGGCCGTCCAGAGAAGGGGTCACCTCTTGAAATGTGGGGCACTGCCTGAGCCCTTCCCACAGGCCAATGCAGCTGGGTCACCCTTCAGCAACCTCTGGGGAGCCTCCCACACGTGGGAAGGGGAGGAAATTTGGGCTCGAGCCCAGGCCCACGGGCTATTGCCAGGCACAGAGCCCATGCTTGCACCATGCCCATCAGCACGGGGCTGCTCTGCAGCTCTGGAGGCAGGAGCTCTGCCTGGCACCACGACCGGCTCCTGCGGGTGCTCCGAGCACCTACCCTGAACTGGCCACCGTTGCCGTCGTCGAGCTCCAGGATGTAGCCTTCCACCTGCACCGTGGACAGCGGGGGCTGCTTCCAGGACAAGGTGGCACTGTTGTTGCGGGTGCAACACTCCTCCAGCTGCAGGATCGGCGGTGCCGGCACTGGAGAGGAAACTAAACACCAATTAGTGCAACCCTGGCTGCTAGGATCACAGAGCAGAAGGGGGAAGACTACAGCAACGTGCACGCTTCTTGTGGAGCGTGGAAGACACGTTCAGTGCCAAGTCAAAACTGCACAAGGGATGCAACCGCGATCTCACGGGCATAAGGCACTGAGGAGGCAAAAAGGAGCCTTCTCCAAACAAGCTGCACCTCAGCCCTGCTGCCTGCGGAAGCTGCCATTTCCCCAGAGCTTCTCTGCGTTCTGCCTGCTTCTTTCTGACACATTACTGAGCAATTTGGCAGCTGAACAACATACCGAGCACATAACTGCCTGGCTCCTCTGCACGAGCCAGCCCCAGCACCATGGAACTCTCCAGGCACCCTTTGCAGAGCGGGAGCAGGTCTCCAGGATCCTCTGCAGAGCGGGAGCAGCTCTCCAGGATCCTCTGCAGCAGTCGTGGTGCTGCCAGCCCAAAGCAATGCTTGGCCTTACCTACAACCCCTGGGAAAGCGCTGTCCTACCTGGCACCCTGGGCTGGTTCCTCAGAGCCTGCATAGCGGGAGGGATGCTGCACAAGGGACCCCCTGTGTGTGTTCCTCTGCTCATTATTAAGACCTCTAGTAATGTCACAGAATCACAGAATCACAGAATGCTCAAGGTTGGAAGGGACCTCTCGAGGTCACCTAGTCCAACCCCCTGCACACGCAGGGTCACCTAGAGCACGTGGCACAGGACTGCGTCCAAGCGGGTTTGAAGATCTCCAGAGAAGGAGACTCCACAACCTCTCTGGGCAGCCTGTTCCAGGGCTCTGGCACCCTCATTGTTAATAAATTTTTCCTGGCTGTCCCTTGGAGCTGTGACATGTGGGACCCAATGACAACCGTTCTGCAAAATCTACAAAACTCACCATCCCACGTGCACAGCGAGGGTGGAACGGGAGGACGGCCTATCCTGCCCACTGCCACGGAGGAGGCAGGCAGCTGAACTAACAGCAGATTTGCTCTTATGAATTAAAAATAACCCCCGGGGCTAAATTCAAACAAGGAAGGGCAAGAATATGCCTACGTCTCCATGAGCTGTGTGGAAGCAAAATGTGAATCCAGCTCTCAGTAGGTTCTGGCTCCCCTATTAAAAATGTTACTGACGCTTCAAAATAACGGCCTGGTTAATGATGGGCAACCAAGAGCGCGGGCGGCAGCAGCGCCCAGCGCGTCCCCCTCCTGGCAGCTGGCACCAACGGGGCCGTTATTTGAAGACTTTCATCATCATTGCAGAGGAAGCGTGTGATTAACAACCTTTCTGTGCCCAACTACTGAGAAAGGTAGGTGTGTATAAATAAATGTCTCCTACGTAGGGAAATCCAGCTGCGCTGGCAATGAAGAGTCATGCCAAGCCCTCAGCTGTGTGTGAGCACGGGCATGGGAAGCCCTTTCTGCTGCTTCTGAGGCCACCCCTGGACCACAGATGTGAGATAGAGATGCCTGGACAAGGGTGCAGGGTTGAGTCCGAACGCACAGAAACAGGCACAGCTCTGGATTTGGGGATGACCTTGCCCAAAAGCAGATCCACAAAGGTCTATCCATGCTGCACTGCTGCTTCCTTAGCCGGAGTCAGGGGCCAGATCTCACAGGAGAGTTGAGGCTGGCAGGGACCTCAGGAATGTCACCCCATGGTGAGGGCTTCATCTCCTGCGGGCTGCCCTCATGCAGATGCATCTGATGCTCATACAGACATTAGTCTCCCATTTTCCTGACTTTGCAGGGCTGCAGGCAGCTCCATGTGAGGCACATCTATCACCATGTGATGGTCTCAGGCCCTGTGCTCATCCTTTTGCATCGCAAAGGTTAGTTTTGACACCTCCTTAGGCAGCGGTCCTTACTGTGGTGCGTGAATAGACATCTAGCACAAAAAGACTGCTCCCTGCTCCCCAAAACCTCACAGTCCAGAAGCATGGAGCAATGGGAAGTGGGGACAAGCGATTATCTGCATTGTACAAACATGAAATGGAGGCGAGAGAGGCCTCCTCAAGGTCACAGAGGAAGCTCAACTCTGATCCCTGGGCTTTCCAGTCTTTCTGCTTGCTGGGAAGAAGCTAAAGCCTCCGCTCCGCTGCTCCCTCCCCACGATGAGCGGGTGGAAAGCGCTCGGCACGGGGAGAAGCTGCTCGCGGGGCCTTGGAAGGACGCTGGAGATAGACCCTTACCTTTCATCTGCACGAAGTCCAGCTGATGGATGGACTGCAGCAGAGGGGCGTTGTCAAGGTTTAGGTCAAAGTCTGTGGTCATCCGGGGGGTGAGTGTCCCCTTCCCCCACTGGTCCTCAGTTAAGTGCACTCTCCTGATCAAAGCGTCCGAGATCTGGGGACAAGGAGCAGCGTCAGCTACCGAGGGCCACCTGGGCCATGGGCAGCGTGCTGGGCCTTGTAGCTACCCTGCTCCCTGCCTTCCCTGCACTTCCAGGGCACGAGATCTGCCCACCAAGGACCGGGACATCGCACATGATTCCCAGGGATGCCTTTGGCAGCCTCAGACTGGCAGAGGAAACCCAGGAGCCCTGGGGACTATTACAAAGACAGGGGCTCAGCCCAGGAATGAAGAGGAGGCTCTCGAGTGCTGCAGAGCCACGAGACGGCCCGTTATCATCTCTGCTTTGCACATACATGGCCATGTGCTGCAACCATCCACTTCTCCATTTAGGATGAGCAAATGCCCCTGGCCTGTGCCTGCTTCTGTCCTGCTGTGAACCTGCAGGCAATGAGAGGTTAGCCTTGATTTTAGGAGTGGGAAGGCCTGAAATATGGGAGAAATCTGTCACTCATCTAGACGGCAGTGGGCAGGAAGAACATCCTCCTGCAAGCCCCTCCTGGGCCTCATCCTCTTGGCCACCTTGGCCCATCTGGCCCCGAAGTGGTGGAGAAGAAACTGCATGGTCACATTTCCTCTGCATGGCCACACCTGGACACCTCCCTGTGACGGGGGCAGTGAAAGAAGGCAGGGAAGGAAGCTTAAATAATATATTATATGATATTTTTATGTATTGACTACTTTTTTAGTGCTGAACAGTAAAATAACGTCCAGTTTGAAGAGATTTTGCTATTCTGCCTGGGAAAAGCTAGGGGTCGAGCTCGGTGTAACTGCCTGCCCTTGCGGGTCAGCCCGGCGCTCCGGGCCGTGCGGAGCGGCTCCGAGAGCAGCTCAACACGCACCTGCAGGAAGCCGCTGGGGTCGTTCTCCTTGATCACCTCCAGGCAATACTCCATGAGGCCCGTGGTCTGCCGCAGCTTCACGGTGCAGTGGGAGATCTGGTCTCGCACCACCTGCCACGAGACGAGAAGAGCAGGATTAAAGAGCTGTGGAGAAAAGGGGCTCTGGGGCCGCGTCGGCACGAGGACGGGGTCTGGGAAGGGAGATGAACGTTCCAGGGAATAGCAAAGGCCAGAAACAGCCAGGACTCGCGCGCTGGGCTCCAGCACTTGGCAAACCTCGGTTGGCTCCTAACCAGGCACCGAGGCAGGCACAAGGGGGAGCTCCCACACGGCTCCTGCGGATGCAGCGTGCGGAGGTGACGGAGGTGACGGGTGGCACGGGGACATGGCCAGTGCGGGCAGCCCATGTGCACCTCGTCTCTGGCCTCCACTGCCGCAAGCGGGACATCGTTTGGGTGTGAAGCCGAGCGGCTCCATGGGGACGCGGCAGCACCTGCGGCCAGGGCAGGGCGGCCCGGCATCCCCGCTCCCACCTCGGCTTCCGCTGCGTCGGCCCCGGCAAGGGCGGGAATGTCACCCTGGCCGCACGGAGAGCAGCCACCCCCTTCCCCGCGGCTGCCTCCCGGGGAAACGCAGCAAGGACGGGATCAGCTAAACAATCTTCTTATCGTCTTTGCGGCTTAAACCTCGTCTGCTTTGCCCGGGATACTGAATTTATGGGCTTCTCCCTGCCGGGGAGACGCAGGGAAGTGAGACCAGCAAAACAGCCCTCTGGCACGGCCAGCCCGGCGCGCACGGCCACGAGGAACGGCCCTCGCCGTGCCAGGATGGGCACCGTGTCCCGCCGCGGCTCCCTGCAGCAAGGGACAACCCTGCATGCAAGGAGGGAGCCGCATCCCCGCTCTGTCCTCCGCTGCGAGGTGACGCGAGGCCGGAGCAGCCGGCACCTCCTGCCCCGGCCCTGCGGAAAGGCCAATTAGCAGCGGAGCTGCCGCCAGGTCATTCCCGCTCCCGAGGGGCTGCAGATGGGAGAGCCCTTCCGAGCCTCCTCCTCCTCCCTCGCTGCAAGGAGACGCGGTGCTGAACGGGGCGTGAGGCCAGGATGGCGCCCGCGGCTCCTCCGCTCTCGCTCCAGCTGCTTTGGAAGCTCGGGAGCGTTTCGGGACATGGATGACGCACCCGGATCACGCTGCGATCCGTGTCAGCCGGGCAGCGGCTCCTCGGAGCCACCCGGTGCTGAGCAGGGGCACTAAAGGCTCCTATGGGGCTGGAGGCCCTGCCTCCCATGTTGCCTCCGTGCACTGCATCCCCATCCGATGGGAATACTCCAGGAACACTCACAGCTGCTGCTGTCAACGGCATGAGGGCAACAAGGGGCTTCGACAGGGTCACCTCCCCCCTCAGTGGGGGTCTTGGCCTTCAGGGCCAGCTCGGTGGCAGGAGGGAGGTCCCTGTCCCCATCGGGTTGGCAGGAGGCCCTGGCGCTGCATCCCGGAGCTCCTCTCTCTTGTGACCTCTGCAGACCCACGCCGGGAAGCGGCTCAGCAGGAGGAGGGATCACCGGCGAGCTGCTAATCCGGACAGGGACGTGCGGATTTGCTATTAATTACTGCTCCCTGGGACACAACGAGTGAGGCCGTGCAGATCTGCTGGCATACAAAGATGGGACTCAGCGGCTGTACGGGCACCGTTCCAGCCCCAGGAAAAACGGGAGCTTAGCGGGATGCTTGGAGGCTCCAGCAGCTCGTGCTGGGGTCGGGAGCCTATTAATGTGGAGAAGTAGAGCATGAAAGGGCAGCGTAATTGCTCCGTGCAGACGGAGCTGGCAGCGGAAGGCGCTTTTCCCCTCACTACCCACAAATGTGTGTTGGAGCCAAGAGGAAGGACCTTCGTGTGGGACCTAACGGGGCTTCGTGGCTCGGAGCAGCTGAGCGCCAGCTTCTGTGCTGCCCACAGAGGAGACAGGGTGCAGCCAGCACTGCCGTTAGGGAAGCGAGACGTTTTAAACGTAAACATTCCCCACAGCCCTGAGGTCAGGATCTAAAATCCACTGGAGCCAGGGAAAGGGGCAGGACGGTGCCTTGGCCAGCAGGGGGACTGGGGAAGCTCCATACGTTCTGTTTACAAGTAGCCTTTATTTCCCAGGTCACAGAATGCTCAAGGTTGGAAGGGACCTCTCGAGGTCACCTAGTCCAACTCCCTGCACACGCAGGGTCACCTAGAGCACGTGGCACAGGACTGCGTCCAAGCGGGTTTGAAGATCTCCAGAGAAGGAGACTACACTGATTAGATCCCCTCTGAGCCTTCTCTTCTCCAGGCTGAACAGGCCCAGCTCCCTCAGCCTCTCCTCATAGGGCAGATGTTCCAGGCCCCTGATCATCCTTGTGGCCCTGCGCTGGACTCTCTCCAGCAGCTCCACATCCCTCTTGTCCTGTGGAGCCCAGAACTGGACACAATACTCCAGATGTGGCCTCACCAGGGCTGAGCAGAGGGGCAGGATCCCCTCCCTCGACCTGCTGGAGACGCTCCTCCCGCATCACTGCAGCCGGGATGCACTTCCAGGTGCACGTTTCCATGGCGACTGAGACGGCTCTAGCCGGGATCTGTATTAACAACCTCCAATGATGCCGCCGGCCCGCGTGATGTGGAGCCACTGGAGACCCCAGCACGTGTGAAAACACACCGGGAAGAGACTTCACCCAGCTACTTAACACAACGACAGAAGGCCAAGGGACACTGCAGAACTTCATCGTGAAGGGACAGCTCTGGGTAAAAGCCATCATCATAAAAGGGCCGCTTGCACGTTAACTTCTCAGAGGGTGCAGGGATTTGTAAAAGAAGATGGTGTTTCCTAAAGACACGGTTTGGTACATACATGGAAAAATCTGGACTCTACCTTAAGGAAAAATTTCTTACCAGTGAGGGTGCCAGAGCCCTGGAACAGGCTGCCCAGAGAGGTTGTGGAGTCTCCTTCTCTGGAGATCTTCCAACCCGCTTGGACGCAGTCCTGTGCCACGTGCTCTAGGTGACCCTGCGTGTGCAGGGGGTTGGACTAGGTGACTTCTAGAGGTCCCTGCCAACCTTGAGCATTCTGTGATTCTATGAAAACTTCAGGGAAGCCTCAATGCTGGGCCTTTGGAAGCATCATATGGGTCCTTTGGAAAGCAGGCCAGCAACGAGCAGTTGAAATGCAGACAAGGGAGCTTGTCCTGAGGCAGAACAGGCATCTGGGCATGAAATGTAGAACCTGGCTCTGGATGTTTCTCCCTGAGACATTCCGAAGCTTTTGCTCTCAGTGTGAAGCTAAGTTAGGGGGAGGCTCAGACGAGGCTGGGAAATGCCCCTTCCAGGTTCATGTGCTCCCCAAACCTTCACCCCTGGAGCCAGCAGTGCTGCCTGCAGACAAACCTGGGCTTGAGCCGGTCTCCACGAAATGTGTGTCAGGCCAAAGTAGGTCAGTCCTGAAGCGGCGCTGACCCGAATTCCAGATGCCGCGTGGGAATGGGAACGCGGGCTCCCCGCTGCAGGGCACTG